AGAAATAAGAACACTAGGGTTTATTTTGATTGACGTCACAAAGATCCCGATTCGCTCTTGGGAATCTGGTCCGATAAAAATTTTGGTCTTCTCAATTTTTCAAAAAGGATGGAAATACGATGATTTTAATGCGTTTATTTTCGCTCGAACGCATTAAAACAGAACCCTCTGCACCTCCCCCGAGTTTGCTATCTGAAAAAACCTTCCAAATACAACTTAGTAACCTCTAACACGCCCATTTGACTGGTCCTTCATATAGTACGACTTGGGAAAGTGTGAACCAATCGATTCTCTATAAGGTGTTAATTATGATGAATCAATAATGATTAATTATTACTGTGCCGTAATAGTTATTGCCAGCGGTGATTGTAGAACCTTGAGATTAAAATACATATAATAATCAATAGTGAAAACTAATAATAATGATGATTGATAATGATAATAAAAAAATATAATAATATGATACACTGATAATAATAGTAATGAATATATATAATAAGAGGTAATAACTTATAACTGATATATAATATATGATATGTATCCTCCTATATATATATATATAAGTATTATATATATAATATATATGGGAATATATATATAATATATATACGTACTATTATATATTATATATATATATAGTATTATATATATAATATGTATATATATATTATATATATATATTAATATATATTATATATATATATATATATATATATATATATATATATATACCTATATATATATACATATATTAATAATGTATATATATATATATATATATAGTATACGTATATAGTATATATATATATATTTATATATAATATATATGAATATATATATAATATCTATATATATATCTATTATATACATATATATGTATAGTATATATATATATATATATGTATATATATATATATAATCTTATATATATATATACTATATATACATATATGTATATATATAAATACATATATACATATTATATATATGATATATATATAATCTATATATATATAATATATATAATATACGTATAATCAATCGTGATTCAGATCCCTCGTCGCCAATGACGTGTATTTTATACCCTAGGTATATATACACGGGGAGTTGTAATGTGAAACTTGCATATCCTATCATGGTATAGTAGGTAGGTAATGTCTAGTGGCCTAGTTAGCTCCTAGTTTATATATAATGCAGTATTAAATGTATACATGTCATGTAAACTATATCATATATATATATTAATATATATATATTATATATATATATAAACATTCATTATATAATATATATAAAACATATATACGATGTACTTATAAGTAAATGTGTGTGTGTGTGTGTGTGTGTGTGTGTGTGTGATGTGTGTGTGTGTGTGGTGTGTGTGTGTGTGGTGGTAGTGTGTGTGTGTGGTGTGTGGTGGTGTGATGTGTGTCAGTGCATATATAATAATAAGTATATAATATTATATATATAAATAGTTATATATATAAGAAACAGCAACTCGTGTCACACGGTGCGGGAGGAAGCTGGATTAGAAATAAAGATGTGCACTGTGAGACGAGTAATGAATAATAGATAAAGATGTAACATCGGGAACATAGTTATAGTGAAAACATATGATGATGAGAAAATATATGCAATACAATGTAAATAATATATATATATGTATAGGAATATATATATATATATATATATATATTTGGTATATTAATATATATACATATATACCATATTATATATATTATATATATTATATTATATATATATGTATATATATGTTATATAAGTTACTATATAGTATAATTATATATAATATATATATATAATATAATATATTTGTATATATAGTGGTCATCAGCCTGCTGACATGAATCAGGTGGGGTTGTATCCTGCGCGAACTCTCTTCCCCGTCTCTTCAGACCTGATGCTTCAACTAGCCACACAGTCTGGCGACGAAGAAGGCTTCTACATACGATGGTAGCGCTGACGGTAGCCTGTCCAACTTCCGACGCTATACAGACTCACACGGAGAACTCCAGGCACGCCTCGTAAGCCCACGGAGACTACCACACAGCGGTCCAGCTTTTGGTCTTTAGAAATCAGCCGAAGAAGCAGAGGTTTCTCCCAGCCGCCCCCAAGGAAGCGTACCGGCCCACGCCCGGCATTCGCAGTTGGAGGACAGAATGAAGGCAGTCCAAGCAGTTGGCTTGATGCCAAAACTGAAAAGGAAGTGGAATAGCAGAGATTGGCACAGTGGCATTCGCAGACTCATATTCGTCTGGAGCACGAGCAGTGAAAGAAAGCCTAAAGTTCAGCTATCTCAGAGCGTCGTAACTGACTACCCTTCTGTAAATCAGGATCAGAGTCGATGCGGGTACATACAGAACCAACATAACAGATTCGGACGATTTCCACCCGCGAACTACGGCACAAAATGTTGAAAGTGTTGGAGCAAGCGGAGATCACCAGCCACGAGGCCATGCTGGGCAGGGCATGGTCCACGAGAATAGGAGGAATCGATTGACGCCTGCCCAAGATCTTCCCTTACGACGAACTCTCCAGCTGGGCACCCGCAGCGGAAGGAAGCACCAAGAGAAGAGAATCCAAGGACTCCTTAAAGATAATACCCTATCACTGCCACTGATCATCGTCAGTGGTCAGCCCTTGCCGCCGCCCGAGAGATCTAGCGACACGCCATTCGCCAGTCAGTCTCCTCCTTTGAGAGCAACCGAAGAGCCGCCCTCCAACAGAAGCGCAGTAGGAGGAAAAACCGCCGGTCTTCAACGGCACAAACCAGATGCGTGATTCTCCTGCACGCCGCTGGTGGCCGAGCGCGCCTGTCACTGCATCGGCCTTCGTCAGCCACCACGAGCTGTGTGTGGGTGTGTGTGTGTTTAATAATGTAGTATGTGTGTGGTTTAATATGTGTGGTGTGTGTTTAATATGTGGGGTGTGTGTGTTTATAATGTGTGTGTGTGTGTTTATATGTTGTGTGTGTGTGTGTTTATAATGTGTGTGTGTGTGTTTATATGTGGTGATGTTGTAGTTTATATGTGTTGTTGTGTGTGTTATAATGTGGTGTGTAATGTGTACACGTCTAAATTCGAATTGCACGCCATCCAAACGCACACACGTACTGTAACACACGAATACGTTGAACGAATTATCGCCTGTTTTTTCTTACAGCACGTACAGCAGCATAAATAATTTTTAAGTGAACTAATACATCAGCAGTCAGCGGCGTGCAACTGGAACCAACTATCTCTGCTAGTAACTGAAAAATGTCACGAAGAAAGGGAGATATTTTCAATAAGATAATCACGGGTAAAACGACATATGAGAATTTATTCGATATTTCAATATAGATTTTCATATCGTTGTCATTATTTCTCATCTCTGCTCTGTTCTGTCTGTCTGTCTGTCTGCCTCGCTGTCTCTCTCTCTCTCTCTTAACTTTCTCTCATCTCTAACTTTCTCATCCTCTCTCTTGCTCTCTCTCCTCCTCTCTCTCCTCATCTCTCTCTCTCTCTTTTCTCATCTCTCTCTCTCTCTCTCTCTCCTCTCTTTCTTATCTTAGTTTTTCTTCTTATACTCTCTCTACTCTCTCTCATCTCTCCTCTCTCTCTTTCTTTCTTTCTTTTCTCTCCTTCTTCTCTCTCTCTCTCTCTTCTCTCTCTCTCCTCTCTCTCTCTCTCTCTCTCTCTCTCTCTCTCTCTCTCTCTCTCTTCTCTCTTTCTTTTTTTTCTTTCTCTCTCTTCTCTCTCTCACTCCTCTCTCTCCTCTCTCTTCTCCTCTCTCTCTCTCTCTCTTTTCTTTTCTTTCTTTTTTCTCTTCTCTCTCTCTCCTCTCTCTCTCTCTCTCTCTCTCTCTCT